CATGGGTATGGCTTCTTTTCTGGTTAGTAAGAAATTGACTCTGGCACGCTACTTTGCAGTGGGCAAGTCTGTTTCAGATCTCATTAGGTCATTACAGCAATACTTTAAGAACAGTGCCATTGTTATTTCACAAAAGAGGAAGCTGAGGCCTGGGGAAGGGAAGGATCTTCCACAGAATCATTTCTTCCAGGAAGTGAGGAGCCTAGAATCACCTCTTGCCGGTGCTTGCTCCCTTGACTTTTTCTCCGTTCCACGCAGTGATGGTTATTTCCATGGTCATGGTTACTAAATCCATCGCAGAGTGATTCCGCCCCCCCAGCATTTGCATATTTATGGGCTGCATGTGGAAGGAAGGCTTCTACCTTCACAAAATTGTGAATTAAATACACAGCATAGGCAAATGCAGAGGACTTAATGGAAGGAAGTAGAATTTTGCAGGTTTTTCCCTTTTGGAAAACTTTGTGTTTGTTTTTGTGACAGCCCAATATGAAGCCCTAGGTGGGTGGCCAGAGCAGGGAACAGAGGAGTAGACAGGAGGATGGAGGAGGGCAGCTCTGTCTACACACAGGTGTCCATAGAGCTGAGAGCTTGGCTTGTCTAGAAGGCCCTAGAGGGGAAGGACCACACGCTTCTGCATTTCTTCTGTGCAATTACAAGCCACTCCCTTGACTCACTTGAGCCTCTGCTTCCTGCTCCATGAGTGCCGAGCACCTCCTGCTGCACCATCATGTGGCCACACCATCATGTGGCTCATCAGACCTTACTGCAGTCTTCTTCCTCCCGTGTCCCTGTGTCCACCCTCCTCACAAGTGTGCACCTTGGCGCCTGGCACACAGCAGGGGGCCAATACATGCTTCATGAATAGACTCTTAGGAAAGAAGAAAGTTCTCAAACTTAGGAATAATTTTGCTGGTATTGGGGCCGCGGTTTGAAGGAAAAATGAGTTTGAAAGTCACAGAATCACCTTTCCTCTGAGAATCTAATTATGTCAGTGGCACTTCACTGCCTGGTCCACATTTGATCTAAGCTACTTAATTTTTTCACTTTTTTTCTTGCTGAAAATTATTTTCCACACAGGTCACAGAAAAGGGACCGATGTAATGATGAAAACTGACACCTCGCAGTCACTCGCTCACGGACACATTGATGTCCTGACATATGTGCCAAGTACAGGGGAAAGAAAGAGGCAAGGCTGCCCCCCTTGGGAGACTGTTCTAAGCACAACTGTGACCAGCGGCTCTCAGATAAGGGACCAAGTCCTACCCATGCCTACAACTAACAAAAATGAGATACCTTAAGTGTTGAAGTAGAAGTGTTGAAAGATGTTTTTGATGCATCTTTGACGCATTTTGGTGCTGCGTCCCAATCTGCCTGGGAAGAGGGGAATGCAGCACCAGGCAGGTGGGACTTCTTATATTGGGTACTGAAGCATGGGTAGGAGTTCACCAGGTAGAGGAGAGAGGAGTAGGGCCAGAGCACAAGAGCCCTTTGTGCAGACGGAGCCCTGTGTGTGAAGGCAGGAGGGAGGAAGCAACATATCTTTATAGATTTGCTGCTGTGCAGATTCTAAACGTGAGGGATGAGGCTGAAAAGTTGGTCTATGGTCAGATCCTAATTGGCTTATGTAGCTTCCTGTGGAGTAGATTCATTTGGTAGGCAATGAGGAATCGTTGAAAAATACTGAAGGGCATTAATGCGATTGAAGTGCTTTTTAGGTGAGGAGGACTGTTCTTTTGCCAAGTGGAAGACACATTGCGGGGGGCTGCAGAGTGGGGGAGTGACATGGAGACTGCTGTTCAGTCCTCCCGCTAAGAAGCTATTAGCAGTAGAATTGGAAAGAGAGAGGCTGTGGAGGCCTTACCTGGTGGGATGCAATGGAAGAAGTGAGGACTGGACAGGGGTTGAAGGATGTAATGATGACATGTGAGAATCAGCTGACTGGGGACAATGGAGAGGAAGCATCTCAGGAGAGCCGGCTTTCTGGCTCAGAGCGCTGGGCGTCAGTCACCTAGTAGGGGCTGCATTGGACCCTCCTGTATCAAAAACTTTAAAAAATGGCCTGGGGTATAGAAGAGTACCTTGCAGCCACTCTTGAATTGTATTGTGTTTCTTTTTTAAAGAAGAGGAAAGTAACCTAACGCTCAGCGATGTTGAGTAACTTAGCCAAGGCCACACAGCTCATCTGTGGCAGCACCGGGGTTCAAATCCAGGTTGGCCCAGCTCGAAGCCCACCCTGTAAAGAGGTGCTTCCCCCACGGGGAGGTGCCGCCTGTGAAGGAAGCTCAGGGATCACTTGCAAGGCCGGGCTGGCACTGATGGAGGGGTAGAGATAGTGGGCTGGCTTGCCAGGGTAACTGGGTGAAGGGGGCCTTTTTTATTTTTTAAAGATGTCAGCAAAAGCATTTTTATCAGCTGAGCAGAAGGAACCAGTGCAAAGAGAGGGTTCCATTTCCGCCAATGAGGGGAGGCCTGTGGAGTAAGAGGACTTTGTGGGCGTGAGCGTAGGGCCGGCCTGAGGACATGGGAGGTTAGGGCTTTGCAGAAGGAAACTCCAAAGGGAGCAGAGAGGAATGGAGGGTGGGAATTCCGGTGAATTGGTGGGGCAGGCATCTGCAGGGATTCAGGGAAGTCTTGAAAGCTGCTGTGGTGCCTTCAGGACGCTGGGAAAGTTAGAGCAGCACACTAGGAGTTGGTGTGAGAGGCGGAGGCCGCTTGCACAGGGGGTGTGTATGGAACCGGCCAGTGTCACCTCCCACCTGTCAGGCTGTGAGCTCAGTGGCCTACTCCACGGTTGGTCTCTTCATTTCCCTTCCACGTGCTGCTCTCCCAGGCTGCTAGACCCTCACCCTGGGAGAGAGAAAGAAATGCATTTTAATTTCTACAAAAGTGAGGCCCATGAAAACAAAACCACTCCCTCTACCAAGTGCAACACTAGCTTTTCCAGTGTATCTTAGTCACAAATAGAAAACCAACACGCGTGGCTCATCCATTTATAGATTTCATGTTAAGCCTAGTGAACAACTCCTGCATCTCCGATGAAAAACTTGGTGAGTTAGAGGATCAAAACCTTGAGAGAAAAGCGTCGAAGTCCTGTGCTAGATTCAGCTTTCAGAGGTCACCAGTAGATTCTGTTGATGGTCACGGAAAGGCTGAATATGTTGCAGGTTTCCGAGTATAGGAAACCATGTTTGTGTTGGAGGGCGTGCCAGGTATGGGTCGACGATTGTGGGGTCCCGGGCCCCGCCGCACTGCTCACAGTGGGGACACGTATTGTCTGTGCTCTTTTCTCTTCCACCTCAAGTATAGTGTATTGATCTCTGGCGTCTGTCCTGCTATCATGTTAAGCCTGAACTGTCGGGCTCTTTTCATTTTGAACCGTTTTTCTCTTTCTTCAGGGGTCTAATTTGTACCGAGTTTCATTCAGTCCCCTAGTTGATCTCTAATGCCATGTTTAGATGGCATTTTAAACCATTGATTCAGTAAACACTAGGTAACGCAATTCTTATCATTACCATTACAATGAATTCAGAGGAGGCAACACATGTTTAATGTTACATCTTATAAATCCTAAACTTAAATTTTGGAAAAGATTAAGTAAAAAATATTCTCGGAAAAGATTAAGTAAATAGACTCATAAATATGTACAATTAGTTTGTAATGTCCCTACCCCTATCCTATCCCATGTCAAAGTCAATGTTTGTAAGGCAAGGGAGACAAAAGCAAAAATGAACTATTGGGACTTCATTGAAATATAAAGCTTTTGCATAGCAAAGGAAACAGTTGACAAAACCAAAAGACAACCTACAGAATGGGAGAAGATATTTGCAAATGTCTTATCAGATAAATGGCTAGTATCGAAGATCTATAAAGAACTTATCAAACTCAACACCTGAAAAAACAAATAATCCAGTCAAGAAATGGTCAGAAGACACGAACAGACATTTCTCCAAAGAAGACATACAAATGGCCAACAAGCACATGAAAAAATGCCAACATCACTCGGCCTCAGGGAAATAAAAATCAAAACTACAATGAGATACCACCTAACACCAGTCAGATTGGCTAAAATCGGCAAGTCAGAAAACAAGAAATGTTGGCAAGGTTATGGAGAAAGGGAAACCCTCCTACACTGTTGGTGGGAATGCAAGCTGGTGCAGCCAGCTCTGGAAAACAGTATGGATGTTCCTCAAAAAGTTGAAAATAGAACTACCCTACAACCCAGCAATTGCACTACTGGGTATTTACCCCAAAGATACAAATGTAGTGATCCGAAGGGGCACCTGCACCCCAGTGTTTATAGCAGCAATGTCCACAATAGCCAAAGTATGGAAAGAGCCAAGATGTCCATCAAAAGATGAATGGATAAAGAGGTGGCATATGTACATACAATGGAATATTATTCAGCCATCAGAAAAGATGAAATCCTACCATTTGCAATGACGTGGATGGAACTTGAACTAAGTCTATCAGAGAAAGATAATTATCATATGGTTTCACTCATATGTGGAATATAAGAAACAAAACAGAGGAGCATAGTGGAAGGGAGGGAAAAATAAAATAAGACAAAATCAGAGAGGGAGACAAACCATAAGAGACTTAACTATAGGGAACAGACTGAGGGTTGCTGGAGGGGAGGTGGCTGGAGGGATGGGGTAACTGGGTGATGGGCATTAGGGAGGGCACATGATATAATGAGCACTGGGTGTTATACACAACTGGTAAATAACTGAACTCTACATCTGAAACTAATGATACACTATATGTTAATTAATTGAATTTAAATAAGATTAGAAAATTTTTAAAAAAATCAATGTGCATAAATAGGCAAAGTTTCTGTGTGTCCCTTAGGTGTTGGTATGTCCACTGGCAGGAGTAATCACAGGACACCATATCCATCTGGCTGGACCTCGGGGCCACACACCCAAGTGTTTTGTAGGTAGTGATCCTGATGTGTTGCACCACCCCTTGGAATGACTTGGTATCTGATGTCTTTTCCTTAGGAACCGTGGAGCACACAGCACATCCCGGCGCTGTTTTCAGCCTTCTGTGGCCTCTTGGTTGCTCTTTCCTACCATCTGAGCAGGCAGAGTAGTGACCCCTCTGTGCTCCTGTGAGTAAGGGGCACACATAGCTGTGCCTGGTTCCCACCGCCCCGCCTTGTCACAGAGGGGAAAGGGCCGAGCGGTGCTCGGAGGGGTTGGACTCTTGGCTGCTCACCTAGCCAACCACTGGGGGAGGGTAGGAGAAAGGCAGGACGGACCAAACACTAATGAAAATCAAGGGTCAACTTTCAGTGCACATTTCACCTTTGCACTCCTGCTTCGGTAGTAAAATGCACAATGTCGGGAACAGAGGGCTTTTAGCTCCCAAGTGCTGCTTTTGACTTTCCCTTGGGTGAACTATGTGGGCAGCTCCCACCTCAACCAGGCTCCTTTTGGGGTCCATTAAGCAGCATCACTAGGCGGTTCCTCTGAGGACACAGTAGACTGGCATCTCTGAAAGGTTTGTCTTTTGTTCTGTTGCTTTGTGTTGCCAACACGGCGGGGCCCTCTGGGTTCAAGGTGAAGTTCGTGTCTACATTTAAAATGTATTTAATAATCATCTTCAGTCACTTGAAATATACTTTCCTATCTTCCCTTTAATCTTGTCTTTTAAATCTTTGAGAAATATGCACTTTGGAAGTGGAAATGCTTGGAAATGTTGCCAGAGTGTCCGATATCAACCAACTGATCGTGAGTGATCAGATAATCAATCATCTCGTGTGATTTTTCCAAACTTATGGAAGATTTGGACTTAAGATAGCCATAGCTCTTTGGGGGCCAGAGAAACCATCATTTTAGGCTGCCTGTGTGCAGCAAAATGAAAGGCACAGGAAATGGACAAAAATTAAATATGGTTTGCCTAGCTTTTCCTGTCAAATATTTTGCTGATGTTTTGAATTTTCTTGCCATTTCCTTGTGAGGATGAAGCCCTGGCAGGCTGACCAAAACAGAGAGTCTCTGTGAGCTTAGCTGTCGGCAGTTGGGGTGCCCATACCCCGTACTTGACTCCTTCAACGAGGAGGGAATCTGAAAATCAAAACAGAATATTTGTGATGACTTGACTCTGTACCTCTTTTCCTTTATTATGAATTCATTAAAGGAGAGAGCCCTTGCTCTTGCCATTTGGGAGTGTGAGGTATCAGGTGGGGCGGTTTACCTCGAACACTGTAATATGCACATATTTTAAAAAGTAAAAGCTGTGCATCTGTTCCTTTTCAGGTCCTTTATTCATTGTAGATTGCTTCCTAAATGTTTACATCAAAACCTGGAAGAACTGGCCGCAGACCCTCTCCCCAAGAAGATGAAAGACTCAGTGGTGAGATATTTGTGTTGTATAATGTATGTAAGAGTTTTGCTTAACATGGCGTGGAACTTGTGGGCAAAGCTCAGGTCCTCGGCGGGGCTCCGGCTAGCCAGGAATGAGTCACCAGTGCAGAAGGAGGTGCCTTGTCTCAATCTACAGCCGACACCTGGAGTGTTGAGCAGCCTGGTGGGTGTGGACCCTTCTAGAGTCTCTGGAAGGCAGATTGCTGTGTCTGCCGCAGGCACTCCCCTGGTCCTCAGTTGATGGCAGTTGCTTGGATATTCCAATGAAACAAGTTCAGTCAATTCCGCCCCCTTCTGGCACCAAGCCGCAGGCCAGCCGTGCCCAAGTCAAAGCTTCTCAAATAAACAGTCCTCCAGGCGGGTTCCTGATGTGCTCCAGGCAGTCCTCTCCACCCCTTCTGGCCTCAGCCTCATGCTGAGCTCAGAGTACTCTGCCCACGTTCAAGGCTGACTTCGGCACAGCCTTTGTTAGGAGACCTTGGGTTTTGGAGAAGGGAGCAACTATATTGGTTGGAGCACATGAAGGGAACAGGAAACAGTAAAAGAAGGAAGAACAGAACACAAAGACTGTTAGAAGAAGGATGCTCTTTCTTTGTCTACCAGGAAAATGGCTTGGGGTGGTTTCAAACATCATTTGAGCAGGTGTAGCTTCTTTGGTATCAACTTCCAAACATTACTGCTTTAAAAAGTAATTGCTTGTCGATTATGTAATCTCCCAATCATTTGTGTGTTGAGCTTGGGGCGGACTGCTGTCTGGAAGGCATGCTTGTCCTGTATTTTTTTAGGAATGACAGATCAACAGAACAGCAGTTAGTGACCCATTGATTGCAAGCTCCTCCAGCCAGGAGCTGCAGTCTCGTTTCGCTTGGTCTCCACAGTGCCTGCACCCGAAGCTTAGTACACTGCATTGAATTTAGACGAGTTAAACTGCAGTCCGCAATTTCAAGACAATGTGCAGGACTCAGTCAACATGATAATATTGTAAAAAAATTCATACTCAGCCCCCGGTGCCTTTGAATGTGGCTGCAGGGGAAGCTGAAGCTTGGAGGCTTTTTTGACACTGAAAAGGAACCAAAGCGAGGTCACTATGAATAAGGGTGTGGTTCATGAATTTTAAAAGCAGAGGTATGTTTGCAAAGCAGGGCAGGAAGTGAACCTGTGGGGCTTGATGGGATGACAGCTAAAAGGGGGGAAAACATTTGCCGTTGAAATAGCATCAACAACCTGATCTCCAGTGTTGACGCCAGGAGACTTGCAAGATCAGACTGACATTCCTGGGTCAGTTTCTCTAAAAGCCAGGGAACGGCCTGATGTCAACCCGAAAGTTTTCCCGTGGATGTCTGAGAAAAACCGTTCTCCCCAAATGTTCCTTGTTTTCATGAATGATGAAGATGCTTTCTGATAGATTGTATTGAAAAATAATGTACGAATAACGATGAAATCCGACAAGCAATTTGCTTGGCGGATGCTGCTAGCATTTCATTAGGATGAGTAGATGCGGTGGGATAGGTGCTGCCTTAGTTTCCATTCATTTTGAAATGCTTTGTGTAATGCAGAGCATTACAAGCATAACTTGTAGGTGATTTAATGTGGTGTGTGTGTTCTATGCTCTGAAAAGTCTTCTGGTCTAATGATAATATTTTAACAGGACTACCAGATTCAGCTTTTACAGTTTGGTGCATAAAACCTTTTGTGCCCAGTGCAAGTACAAGGTTTTCCTTCTTGTCTCCGATTTTCTTTCTCTCTCTCTCTCTCTTTTCTTCAAGTTCACTTTGTATGAGTAACCCCCAAGGAGCCTCCTTAGATCAGGTTTCCAGCCCTTGTTCCTATTCCAATTCATTTGGCCTGTGATGGGGCCTGCATGTTTACAAGACTGTCTCCTCAGACTGAGCTTCCAGGGACCTCGATCTAGAAACAGAGATGCCCAGCGCTCCATCAGTGGGCCTATACGTTCTCGTATGCGCAATGCCAACTATGCACTCAGTTCATTATCAAAACGTGATAGTTAATAGCAATGTAAACTTTCCGCTTAGTTCCCTCTTATCCACCTGCCTTAGGAGCCTGGTCTTTCTTTTTCTAAGCTCACTCATCCTCATCAATCTCTACCCTCTACACCCATTCAGCTATGTTACTTCCATTGTACCTATTTTTCTCAGTTTCTAGAAACAAAAAATAGACAAAACAACAAAACAAAGACCTCTTTTTTATTGTTCAACCAGCTTCTTTTTAACCATTGGTTGTATCATCTAGGTTTTTCAGGGGCCATGCTGTCTACATCTGCTGGGTTGTATAGTGTGGGACCAAGGCTTCTTGAGTTTCTTTTTAGGGTTGGAGCATGAAGTGCCACATAAAATGTCACAATGGATTTAAAACATTCAATGTGCTAAGCGCCAATATATTTATTAGTTAAACATGCTTGGAATCACCAATAAAATAGGGAACCAAAACATTAATATTATTGAAGATTGTTTTGGAAGTTCGGGCTCGTGTTAAGTCTGAAAGGAAAAAAAAATGTAGATTACATTATTGTGTATATGTAGATCGCACAGAACAGTTTATTAAAATCAACTATGATCAATATGAGAATTCATAAATACCCCTAGAGACAAGGAAATTTAGAAAAGCAAGAGCATTCTTACACATCAGAAATAACCTTAGAAAATATAATGAAAACATGATCCTACTCACAATAGCAACAAAATATATGAATTGATAATAGGAATGATTTTAACAAGTAGTGTCAGAAATAAAGAAAACCATAGCAGTCTATTAAAATGCAAATGACGTTCTGAATAAGTGTTGATAAATAGACATGACTTGATTTTGGATAGGAAGCCCGAGATTTATTAAATGCCAATTCTTTCTAATAAATTTATAGGTCTAACATTGTTCAAAACAGTTCCAGAGGAATTATACTCATAACTTGGGGAAATAATTCTAAGGTTCATTTAGAAGAATAGCCACTAATAATAGTTTTTAAAAAAATCTGGAGAAGAATAAGAAAGAAGAACTTAGCACTTTGAGATATAAGAGTATATTGTAAACATTGAGTAATCACAAAAAAATTATTAGACTCATCCAAGACTAGAGAATGGGATTAGTGAATCAGTAAAACACAGAAAGGAGGCAAATTATTTATATAAATGTATTATGTGAAAATTAAGTGTCACAATCAAGAATGGATTAATCAATGTATGGTGTTGAGGTCATTGTTTAGCAGTGGGAGGGGAAAAAATAATTTTGTGTGCTGATCCCTCACCAGACACCAATGTAAGTTAGAAAGACAAAGAGCAAATGAGGCTTTTCCATCTCTGATACTATGGCAGGCTGAATTATTTTAACCAAACTCTCTCCAATTCTGAATAAAATACAAAAAAAAAAAGTCCTTCTTAAATGTGACAAAAAACTGACAAAAAGATAAGGAATTATTAAGTCAAAGTCAAAATTTAAGTGAACAGGAGGAAGCAGAGCTGGAAGCCTTCTTTTGCCTCAAGGGCGTCTGCCCAACCAGGGGATCCTGAGTCTCAGTTGTCAGCCCTCAAGCTGTGGGGCAGAGAAACTAAAGCCAAGGCTTCCAGGTTGGGTGTGTGATGTGAGACCATGTGCTCATCAAGCTGGGGCACTGAAGCACCCACCTTCAGAGGGAGGATGAACCAGAAGAAATCTCTCCCGTCCTCCTCAGCGCCAGGGGAATGCAAGCAGACGCGCTTCGGTGTTGAACATAACAGCAACAGAATCCTTGAGATGTAGTCTGCCATGGGTTTTCAGTCCCAGTTCTAACACCTGCATGGCACAAAAACGCTAAATTTATGAATCGAGATTGAAGTGGCCCCCAACTGGAAAAACACCTCATGGCAAAACCAAACATGAATCCTCCCTAGAGGATTCTTTCCTCCTAGATCTCCAAGTGTTCCCTAAACAAGTTTTCTAAGGAAAATGAGCAGCTCTCAATAAAAAAAAAAAAAAAAAAAAATTTAAACTATGCAAGGAAACAAAGAACCAGTAGAAACAGGTCTTTAAGTACTTCACATTACTGGAACTATCAGACACAGATTTTATTTTATTTTATTTATTTATTTTTAAAAAGTTTATTTATTTGAGAGAACATGAGAGAGAGAGAGCATGAGTGGGGGGCAGAGGGCAGAGGGAAAGGGAGAAACAGGCTCCCTGCTGAGCAAGGAGCCCGACTTGGGGCTTGATCCCAGGATCCTGAGATCATGACCTGAGCTGAAGGCAGATGCTTAGCTGACTGAGCCCCCCAGGCGCCCCCAGACACAGATTTTAAAACAACTATACCGACTGTGTTTAAAGGAATGAAAGGTAAAACTTATAGACAATAGAAAATATTAAAATGATCCAGTATGTTTGAAAGAGAACCAAATAGACCTTCCTAAACAAAAAACAAACCAGAAAATGAAACAGTTGAAGAAAACAAAACAAAGCACACACACACACACACAAACACACACAGGAGATTAGATGCCTCCAATGAGAGAATTAGTGAACTAAAAGAAGAAAGTATCTAGGGTGTAACACTGACAGACATAAAATTAAGAAATACAAAATAAAGACGAAGACATGTGAAAGGGAGTAAGAAGATCTAACATATATCTAATCAGAATTTCAGAAAAATGGGGGGGAGAGAGACCAGAGCATCATCGATGTCTCATGAGATCATATCTGAGAATTTACCAGAAGTGATGAAAGACACTGATCTGGAGATTCAAGCATCCCAGTGAATCACATGCAGAGTAAAACACAGGAATCCACACTGGAAAAACCATAGTGAAACTGCAGACACCAAAGACGCAGACCATCTTAAAGCAGTCAAACAAAACAAACGGATTACATTCAAATGAATGACAAACAGAAAGCTCCCTTATCAAAATCAATCATAGAAGGCAGATGTTTGAAGTATTTAATGTTCTGTAAAAAAAGTAACTGCCAAGGTAGAATTCTATGCCCAGTGAAAATATCTTCAAAGGTGGG